GGAGGTGGGGCTGGTAAGGAGCACAGATAATAGGGAAAGGTTCCTGAAGAAAGCAACATCCATATCAGCCGCTGAGTGCACTGGAATAATCTTAGGAAGAATGTTCTATGCAAAGGGAACCAGCATGTGCAAGGCCGAGGCAGGAAAGCATGCGTATCTAGGGAACTAACAGCGACTCACTGTGACTGAAGGACAGGACGGAAGAGGAGTGACGAGATAATGCTGGACCAGATCACAAGGGACCTTATAAACTGAGGCGCACGAAAGAGTGAAGACTTCATCCTATAAGCTGAGGAACTGCCTAACTGGTTTTCTGTTTCTAATAATTTCTCCAGATACTCCATTTTCATACCAGCATCAAAAATACTTTCCTAAAATGCCAACTGAATCACATGACTCCTTTTAGACTGCTAGACTCCCTGACGGTCCCTGGTGGCCTTTAGAGGACAGCTGTGAAGAAAAGAGCCCACACAGCAGGCCTATGTTTATCTTTGGAGGCTTCCAAGGCTGGGCCTCGGCAGCCATCTGGGAATAGAGATTCTGGAAGGTTCCCACTGTTACCTGTTAAGAGCCTGCGGTTTGCTGTGCCTGTCTATACAATGTGACTTATGTTAAACACCTGCTTTCCTTCTGCGGTGATGGAATCTGGGTACAATCCAGGCAGGGGGTGCTGTGTGATTGCCTCCCCAATAAATCTCTAGGAACTCAGTCTCCAGTGACCTTCCCTGGCTGGCAATGTTTCACGTGTTGTCACAGCTGGTTGCTGGGGGAATCAATGAGTCCTATATGGCTCTGCTGGGAACGGACTCTGGAAGCTTGTGCCTTGTCTCCCCACTTTGCCTATGTACCTGTCTCTCTGCCGGCTTTGCTCTTTATCCTTTCACCGTGGTCCTCCTGGTGAATCCTCGTACCTGAGTGGTCTCAGCTAAAAGCTGAGTTTCTTATGTGCCGATCCTGTGCTGAGCACTTAATGTACACTGGCAAGCTGAATTCAGGTAACGGGCACTGCAATTACTCCCTTTATCACTGAGAAAACTGAGGTGCAGGCCCTGTGGCAATGGCACAAGTGGGAGGGCACTGCTAAATGACGGCTGGAACCACATGGGAGGCCTGGGTTCCCTTCCTGGTCCAATCTGAAAGGGCAGGGAACTATGATGGCTCATGCCTGTGGTCCTAATTAACTAAGAGACTGGGGCAGGAAGGAATGTGACTGGCAAGACCCTGTCAAAAATATCCCTCATTTCCCCCCTCCCCTCTCCCACTTAAAAGAAGAAGAAAAACTGAAGCTTAGCCAAATTCAGTAGTAGCCATAATGGAGTCAGGACCAAAGCCCAAAGAGCACACCCTCAACGTGTCATAAATCGTGCAGAACAGCGGATCACGGCCAAGTTTCACACTGTGGGTTCTGTTGGCCTTTCCACCTTGACTCAGTCCCCACTACTCCATAGCAGCCAAACATTCCACCCACAGCCACGTCTCATGCCCTCAACAATGTCCCTGAGCCTGTGTTTATGCCAGTCCTTCTGTCTGGAATGCTCTCTCCAAGCCACCCAATGCCACTGTCCACAGGGCAAACACCTACTCCTCAGAAGAGTGTGTTCCACGGAGCCCCCTCTGAGGGCCAGTGGAGAGTGTTGGGCAGCAGTTCCTGTATGCTCATCATCTCTGGGCTATCTCGGCCCATTCCCTCAGATAGCTGGGTCTTCTCTGTATCTCCACAGTGCCTGGTTCATGATGGGAGCGCAGATCATGTTTTTTGGTAATTAAGGATTTGGTAGACAGGACATACATATCAATTAGTCATTAAACAACAGTATTTTAGGGAAATAATGACATGAGAAAATGTTTATGAGAGGTTAAGGAAATTCAGGTTACAAAGTGGTACACAATGACTTGTAGAAAATTTAGGAAAGACAGTTTTGCCTGTAGGATTGGGGGACTGAGTAAAGAGAATTTATTCTTAATATATACTCCTTCATATGCTGAATTTTATCATATACAAGTCTTCCTTTTCCAATTAAAAAAGAATAGCATATAAACTATGATCCCCATTCTGCTTTAAAAATAAGACAGACTAAAGACCAGGAGGAAGGCCACAAAAATGTTAACAGTGGAGGGGCCAGCAGGTGGCATAATGGTTAAGGTTCCGGACTCCTGCATGTCTGACTTCAGTTCAAGTCCCTGACCTGGTGGCTTGCTTTCTCACTTTCTCTTTTTCTGTCTCTCTCCGGTCCATTTTTAAAAAATAAATAAAATAGCTAATTAAAACAAGTTAACAGTGGATATTTTGGATGAAGGAGTTACTAATATTTCTCATTGACACTGTATTACCTTGGTAATCATAAAAACAAGTAATTAATGCTATTTTTAAACAGTCCTTTTGAGCAATGAATAAGTACCTGGAAGGAAGACTGAAAGGGTCTCATCTCTAGCAGTTCCTTTTCAACTCTGGCTTTCATGCCAGGGTACATCATGTTCCCGCCAGTGAGGAAGACGTTCTGAACCAGTGTCTCCTGAACGTCCTTCGGGTACCTAGGAGAGAAACAATTCCTTCTGGGATGGTCTCTCTAACTTGAGTATCAGTCAAGTATGAAGACGTGGAAATGTAAGCTCTCGGTGCAAAACAGAAGATACCTACATGTGAAGTCAAAAAAACATACAACTGGGCCAGCAGGTGGCGTGGAAGTTAGGCTCTCGGTCCCACACGGCCAGTGGTACAGTTTGAGTCTTGGACTGGCGCTTGAGAATCATGCCAGGCACGTGTGCACGTGTCCCCAAAATCCCAAGAGAAGAGTGGAGGAAAAGGGACTGCAGCCGGTCATTTCCCCTGGGTAGTGGTGGTGGGGGATGGTTTTTCTCTCTGAGGAGTGCATGTACCCTATATCCCCAAAAAAGAAACCCTAAAACTTTCATTTCTCACGTGTGTCCCTACAGAATGCCAGTCCAAGGTTTCCAAATGTCTTGTCAGTCTTAACTAGAATGGCCAACATATTTCCCTATTGTGATGAGAATTTTTGTAACTTTTCTAATACATGTTTTTTAAAAAAATTAACTTAAAAAAATAAAATAAATAAAAATTAACTTTATTGAGGATTAACTTACATACATGTTGATAAAGGCTGACAATTTATATACCCCGGTCATCACCACAATCAAGATGGAGAACATTTTAGGCCAGGCAGTAGCATGGTGGTTAAGGGGATGAGATCCCACATACTGACTGCATGAGTCAAATCCCAACCAAATGGCTAATAATATGAAGGTTTATGGGGAGCCAGCATACATGTTACATCATGTTATATTGTGTAACTCAAACTTAAAGGAAACTCTAGAAGATTCTCAAATCAAATGAGCATTTACATCACAAAACAATCACAGAACCCTCGTTAGGTGCTAGTCCTAGTGACAGAGATAAAATGCTACTAAGGACAGCAAGTCCGTGAAAAGACAACAGAGAGACAGATTTCTAAAGAGCCCAACCATCAAGTCTGCGACTCAATGCAAAATCCAAGGGAGTGGTCTAGAACAATAGAAGGACAGGAAGTTTTACTCTCTCACCTGTCCAGAATGTACTGGAGGGTCTCGGCTACCCCAGCCTGCTCTTCTCCAATGAGAGACGGCTGGAAGATAATTTCTGGAGCTCGGATTCTTTCTGTCCCAACGAACAGCTGATGATACGCTGCCAAGTTAAACACGGGCTTTAAAAACCCAAGGTTTAAAAGATATTTTTAGGCCATAATGACAAACATCCTAGTTGCCAGTTTCCTCTAACTACGTTTCTTATTCCGATAGTTTCTGTTCTTTCTGTTTACGCCAGAACAACCTCTCCCAACTTCTTGACTTGGTAATTCCATTTCTACCTGTGTCAACCTCTAAATTATAAGGATACACAGCTGCCATATGAACTGGTCCCTGCCTTGTAGACAAAGAGACTTCCTGGAGAGCAGCAGTAAGGCAGCCAGTGCCTGGCATAGCACCCTGGCCCTGCACAGCAAAAATCCTCTCTCAGGCAGGTGTCCACCCAGGTCAATTTATCCAGTTGCCATTTTAAAGACAGAAATGTAGACCCTCAATGAGGGTTAGGTGTAATGACATTGGCTGAAATTTAAACGAAGCCTTCAAAAGCCAGTCTTCAGATGTAGTCCCCAGTTACTTATTTAAATATTTCTGCCATGCAGACTCTTTGTCACTGATCAATCCCTGGGGAAAAACCCTGACTTTGGACGTTTCACGCACTGGTACTCCTACTTCTAGAAAACAGAACTGAGATTAAAATAAAATATTTTTCCTAAGGGAACAGACTAGACTAGGTCAGTTGTTTATGTCAACAGCTTCAAAGCATAAGCACAGACTAAGATGCAGAAGGCAAACCTGGACGGTGGCGACCGGTTTCTCCACTTCAGGTGTTTCCTCTGAAAACAAGGGTTCGAAATCATTAATGTTTTCCACGTCCTCCAAAGATGGCTCTAGCTGCTCCAGGTCAGGAGTCTACAAATAGAACAGAATAGAATAAACAAAACAAAACAGAACCTCTCAGCAAGACTGAGTTCTATTAACTCAGTGTCATGGAAGATTTAAGATCATGCCCAATGTTCTAAAAGCTTACCCAGAAACTATAAAAAAAATTCTAATCTACTTTAAAAGATATTTACATGAACACGAAGATTTTAATGACAGGGCCAACAGGTGGTGTGGTGGTTAGGGCGCTGGACTCCCACACGGCTGGCCATAGTTCGAGTTTTAGATCTGGCAGCTCGCTCGCTCTCTCTCTCTCTCTCTCTCTCTCTCTCTCTCTTTCCCTCCCTCCCTCCTTTCCTCTCTCTCTCTCACCCTCTGGTGAGTGCACATGGCCTATAACAAACTTAAAAAAAAAAACAACAAAATTAAATAAATAATTCTTTAAAACTTTTTTTTAAAGATTAAAAAGACTAGGTCTGGGACAGCAAGTGGTGTGGTGGCTGAGGCCCTGGAATCCCACATGGCCGACCATGGTTCAAGTCCTGGACCAGGCAGCCTGCTTTCTCATTCTCTCTCTCCTTCTCTCTCGTAAATACACATGTCCCCTAACATTGGAAAATAATATTAGTAATAAGGGAAATTAAGTAAGTAGTTCTTTTCAAAAAAATGACTAGGTCTAGCTGCAGTGGTCAAGCAGCAGGGCGGAGCTATGTAATGACTGGTGGCCATGTAAGAGGCCTGGGTTCGGTTCTCGGCCAACCTATACAGGCCAGCCTATGGTCCTACGTGACTGGGATGCTGGAGCACGAAGGACTACAACACAGCAGGATGCTGTCAAAAATGCCATCTTAGGTCAGCTAGTGGGTGGTGGTTAGGGCAGTTGGATCTCACACATGCAACTGTACGGTTCAAGTTCCAGATCTTGTGGCTTGAGAAACACACAAACCTGCACATGCATGTGTGCTCAGAATCCTGAGGAGAGAAATGGAGAAAGGATTGTGACATGGCTTCCCCCTTCGCCCTGGGGGTTGCTTTTTTTTTTTATGT